GTGACTTCTCTGAGACTGGGATGAGAAACTATGCCTCAAAGGGATGGGATAAAGAAAAGGATGCCAGACAAGGTGTGAATTACTCAGCTGGGCCTTGGCACGAGTAGAAAGTGCCACTAGTATATACAACCCATGGTGCAAAAGAGGGGTGGGGGATGCCTGACTAAAGAAAGCAATGGCAGTGCTACAATGTGTCCCCAAATAGTATCATGATATTCATACATTAATAACTGAAAACAGGTAGGTGTGGGGGAAATTTGATAACATAGTAGAGTTCTCAGAACTATAAAAACAGGCCAGGCCTATTGCCAGCCGCCAAGGACATCAAAGGACTTAAGAGAGCTGTGCCCTCGTCATCCCTGCTGGCCCAGATAGCTGCTTGTTTTGCCACATAACTTGTCACTGGTCCATGTGAAGACAGCATTGCTGGTTAGTAGAGGCTCAATCCATCTTTCTGGTACACTCCAAGCAATATGGCTAACTATACATACCACGATTCATCACTGACCTGTCTGTGTACAGATCTGTGGCTATAAATACATTAACAGTGCTGTGGAAAAGCCATCACTTCCCATCTTCACCCAACAGAAATTCTGTCCTCATTAAATGTCATCTCCCATTTCTGACTACCCCAACTCCTAGTAACCACCATTTTGCTTCCTGTGTCTGTGGAGTTGACCACACCAAGGATCTCCTGAGTGTAATCAGTGTTTGATCTTCTGTGGTGATGGTATAGTTTTGATGTGATCTGACCCCCAAAAGGCTCATGTGTTAAATATTTGTTCCCTAGATGGTGACAGTGTTGTGGGAGGTTCTTAATACTTAGTTAGGACACAACTAGCAGTAAGTACCAGCATGCATGCCTTTGAAGATTTTAACTTGTCCCTGGTCCCTTCTGTTTCTCATACCTGTCCTCTATGAGGTTAGTAGCTTTTGTCACCTGCTCTCATCTGACAGATATCTGGCTTTAGCCCTGGTGGAATCCACAAAGCCAAGGACAAAAGACTCAAATCTCTGAAATGTGACCCAAACTTAATGCTTTTTTTTAAAGTTGTTCTTTCAAGTATTTCTGATCGCACCTATGGAAAGTTGAGCAACACTGAATCTTTGAATCATGGTGGTTCAATTTAACGATTTATTTCTCAATATCACAACAATGTAAAAGTCAGAACAATCTCTGTAGAAACTATGATTTGAATTTTGAGTGGGGACCTTCATCCAGGCTAGTGATATGTTGTACGATCTATTCTCTGTCATGATGCCATGCATTAGCACCATCCTCTGTCTCCCTGCCTCTGCCTCTGCGTCTCTCTGTCTTTCTCTGTCATTTCTGTTGCTACATTCTCTGTCTTATGTTCTCTATCAGAATTTGAGCAAATGATCAGGAAATGTGGCCCCAAAGACAAGCTGTCTGGATCCTTCTGCTCACAGACTGCCTTCATGAAGGGTTGTAAGTGCCAGACCTTTCGATTTCTGCATGCATATTCTCAAGCCTAGAAAGACTCATGTGCTCTCAATATACAGCAGGCAGAACATCAGATAGCATGTTTTTATAATATTGGCACCTTGTCGAGGATCTACACACATGTGTCCATGTTCACATGTATTGATATGTGAGAGTGTGGCTGTCTGTCTCTGTGTGTGCAAATGTGTAAATAAACACCTGTTTATATGCAATGTTTCGGTGTTGACTTTCTCTGTCGCTCTGTCTCTGTTTCTCTGTGTGCGTGCATGTGTGTGTGTGTGTGTGTGTGTGTGTGTGTGTGTGTGTTGTGTTTAGCTGTCACTGTGACAGTTGGATAAATCCCATGACTGCTTTCTTTAACCCCACTCCTGCCTCCTTGATTGATTCTCTGCTACACAATCAAGATACATTTGCAACTTGGGCATCCCAATCACTTGGAAAATACCTCTTCCATAAAAGTTCTTCCTAAACATTAAAAAGCCACCCAGAATTCCTCTTACTGTTTTGTGACATCATCCTTCATACTACCATGCTCTTAGCAGTTCTCCTGGTTCTTATACCACACACAGCTCACTCCCACACAGGGTGCAGGGTGGTGTCTCTTCTCTGCTCCTGTGGACTGCCTGTACTCCCTCACTTCTCTTTCCCTCGTGAGTGGGCATTTAATACCTGGAACTTTTGATACTTTCAAAGGTTTGGCAGTATAGATGGGCCTAGAACAAAGAGTTAGTTTGTTGAATCTATTGATGTCAATTGAGGACAATATGGCTTCTCTGATGGGAGCTTTTACACTAGGGACAGAGTGTGCAGACCTCAATTTCACCCACCCCTCAACATCAAATGTGCCTCAGAAATCTAATTCAAGCATTACTGTTCATTGTCTTCTAACTACTAGTCTCATAAATGCAACATGGTACCCAGGTGCAGGCCAAATCTCAAGGAACACCACTGCAAGTCCAGTCTGTCTCACAATGGATTTGAGAAGTCACACCAGATTAAGTACAGTCTGGGCTACATACTAAGTTTGAAGCCAGCATGGTCTACATAATAAGGTCATAACTCAGATCAAGCAAAGTGTAGCAAAAGAATATCTTCCTTTTGTTGAAGGTGGTGGCATATGGCTTTAATCACAGCACTTGGGAGGCAGAGGCAGGTTGATAGAAAGTTCCAGAATAGCCAGATCTATATAGGAAACCCCTCTTTCCAAAAAGAGTCTTCCTGGACTACTTTTGACCCCTTTCAAGATCCTGCCTCAAGATGTAAATTTTAAGAGAGCTATCGATATAGCAATATAATATGAACTCAGTGGAAGAGTGTGATACAATAGTTTCAATCTCCTCTGCCAAAAATAGTTTGTTCGGGACTATCCATTCAAAGACAATGGTAATAATTAATGCGGTCTCCACCAGGATTGTTGTGGCCATTATATATGATTTTAGGGACCAGTCTGTCTCTCTCTTTCACTTTGTGCTCCTGTCCATGATACTGCCACTCGAACCCCCAGAACCCTGTGATGTCAATAGACTAATCTGCTTCACTTCTCCCACTTACCCTTCATTCTTCTGAACTCACATCTGCCATTTATCAGTCTTCAAGGTTGTTAGACTAGACATTTTGACCTCTCCATCTAGGGCAGCTTTCAGGCACATGGTGGATCCCCTCTCCCCATTTCTCACACTTGGACTCCTATCACCTTTCGGGTTGTCAGGAGACGTATCCTTCAAGAATATTTTCCACCACCACCTCACCATTATGTGGCTTCACCTCTCCACCATCTGCTCCACTGGGACACCCTGCTTCCCTTGATGCATCTTCCCACACTGGCTGAAATTGAGACTGTCTTTAGTAACTGACACACAGGCGTCATTCGAGAAATGTAAACTATGGACAAAACAGTGAGTGAGTGTCACCTCTAAATGCTGCTTTTTAAATAGTTTAAGACTTATTTATTTTAATGTGTGTGTGTGCGTGTGTGTGTGTGTGTGTGTGTGTGTGTGTGTGTGTGTGTGTGTGTGTGTGCAGGAACCCAAGGAGGTCAGAAGAGGAATCAGATTCCCTGGAACCAGAGTTAGAGACAATTATGAATTACCATGTGGGTACCAGGAACTGAACCTGGGTCCTTTGCAAGAGTAGTAAGTAGGTTCTCTTTACTGCTGAGCTATTTCTCCAGCCCCCAAATGATGCTTCTTAGACAATAAAAATAGAGATTCCTTCGGATTTTTGCTTCCAGGAGTTACATTCTACTCATGTAGAAGATAGTTGGCTCCAAGAAACTGATTTCTTTTGGATCCCATCTAACAGTTCGCTTCTCACATTTTCTTTCTGTGACACTAAGGGCATGATTATTGATAGTGCCTGAAAATAAAGGCCTTGGAAACACACATTTGGGGAGGTTGACATAAACCATTTATCCAGCACACACAAGTACCTGAGTTCTAACATCACCACCTCAAAACCAACAACAATCATAAAACAATAATACAAAACATAACACAAGTTAGGCATGGCGGCACATGCCTGTAATCCAAGCAGGAATCTGAGACATCTGAATTTCCTTGAGTATGAAACCAGTCTGGGCCACATGATGAGCTGAAGAGAATCCTTGTATGTTGGAGAGAGTGTCTCAAAAACACTAAATTTAATTTAATTTTAGAAAGTACAAAATAGGGCTAGAGAGGAGGCTCAGAGGTTCAGAGCAATGACTGCTCTTCCAGAGGTCCTGAGTTCAATTCCCAGAAACCACATGGTGGCTCACAACCATCTATAATGGGATCTTGTGCCCATTTCTGGCCTGCAGGCAATGTAGGCAGAATACTGTATACATAATAAATAAATAAACTTTTAAAGCAGTTTTAAAAGGGGGGAAATAAAGAAATACAGCACAATATCTAAATAACAAATATTCAGAACTATGACAGTATAAAAGTACTAAGAAATATGCTTAGTGGTTTTATGAATTTTAGATTTGCTTCCGGGTGAACATTTTCTTAGGTTCCAAATTGTCCTCTCTTTTGACATGTGGAAAGTATTCCAGTGAATTGGTTTGCTTCAAGATAATGTACACTGTATGTGGTTCCTAGAATCAATTAATTTTCTATCACTTTTCTCATTAATAATTAATTAATGATTTATTCATCATTTATTGACTTTTCTATATTAGTTTTTGGTACAGAGTCTCACTATAAAGCTATGGCTGGTCTGGAACTTGAGATATAGGTTATGCTGACCTTGACTCTCCCACAGTATTACAAATTGGCCATCATCTTTGTAGCTAAATATCTATATACAAACCTCATTGTGTATCTGGACCAACAGTCAGAAATGGAAATATCAGAATTCATTGTCAAGCCACAGTAAATATCCTCCAATGGCCTTTAAGTTAATTTGCTTAGACTACATTCCCAATAGCAATTTCCAGAACAAAGGCCTATTTTCTAAAATATAAACAATTAATCCATTATGTTACCAGTCACCCAATAGACAGTGTCCCAGACTTGAGGAGCCTGTCCTTATGTTGTCTTGTATTTCTTTGCAGTGGTCGGGTGTTCACTGCCATAAAACCGTTCCAGCAAGATTGCAGTATCCAGGTAGGAGGTTTTGCTTTGTCCACCATAGCATGGATTCTTTGCATCACCTCCATGGGCCTCCCACAGTGGCGAGTGTGGTACCTGAAGGAAGGTGTGATCTCTTACCCTAGTGTGGCCTTTGTGGGACTGTGGAAAGTCTGCATCTATCACTACAACAACTCCAACAATATTAGAATGTGTTACCAATACAGCTACTATGACACCTTCATCCCTTTGGATATTCGTATTTCTCAACACCTGATGCTGATCACCAGCATTTTCTGGCTGATTGGAAAAGTGGCCACCGTTGTTGCTCTTAGAAATGTGCACTCAGAAAGACAAAAATGGAATACTATCCACAATGCCTTAAATGCTTCAGCGATTCTGAACATCATTGCTAGTAACTTTGTCTTCCTTTCTGTCTTGTGCAACTATTTCCCCATTTTAAACAAGGAGGGGATTGCCTTTCCACCCTCCTTCATTATGCCCCTTCATCCAGATATTCAGAAAGCTGGGGCTGCCATGGGTGCGGCATTGCTAGCGGCTGTCCTGTTTTTGTTCAGTGGCGTGATTTTCATTTCTTATGATGTTCCCTTAAACATCAAAGACATTCCTGATTTCTGAAAAATGAATGTACTTCATCTTGAAAAATCCAAAATTCCCTGTGGTTATAGCAAAGATTTTGGAGATGTCTCCCTAAAGTCTCCAAAGATTCAACAATGCTCAACTGGCCTGTGACAGAAAATGGTTCAATGGCTCCTCCTGTTATCTTTTCTGTCTTGTTTGTTTCATTACTTCATTGGTTGGATTATGGACTTCTATTAAAATAAATAAAACCTTACCCATTTATCAATTTGTCTTATGAAATTTGGGCTGTTAATTGATGTCAATGAAGGAAATGATAAATAAACCTAATACATATGAAAATGAGTGTCAGAGCACATTAATCTCTCTTATTGCTGTCTGGTTCCACATCTCTTCCATATGAAGTTTTCCAAATGTGTTCATTTGACAGATCAGTAGAAGGAATCTCCCCAGTATATTACAAGACTCAATGGCCTGAAAATGTCTATATTTCCTTTAATAAGCAATCATTGTCTCCTAATCCAACCTAACAGCTTTTGTGACTATCATACAAAACCTCTTGAGTCATAATGAAAGGCCACTAGGTACCACTAACTCAGAAGCTACAAATATCAGCAGACTACATATGAAATCTATAGCTGAGATTTCTCCACTTTGATGTAACTCAACTACCTAATGTTCACAGCATTTCATTGAAGGATGCCTTGGATTACAACTTTATTTTGTTCCCTAGCCATAAAAATGTCATGTATGATAAATATCCCTTCACTCATTCATTTCTGGTCCTGGATCGCTGCCATTCCTCTCCTAGGTAGGGATATCAAGTTTAAATTTCAGGCCCATTTAAATCTCTTTGACAATCTAGTGATTCTCATGAATTCTTGTCCTGCAATGCTCTGTCCTGTGATGGCCTGGAGTTGACTGGGGCCTCAGACAACACTGTCCCCATGGTCTCTGGTACAGAACCTTACATCATCCAAATATAATCCTCCTAAATTCTAGTATACCTGTATTCCTGAGCACCCATTAACTGCCATTCCTGTCAGATACTCTTACAGACCCTAGTTTCCCTGAAGTCCCCAATACCCTTAAAGTCCCAAGGCATTAAAAGGCTTACTGCTGCTCACTGATTAACTCCTGCCTACTTAGCTACTGAGTCCCTGTAGCTCTTTGTACAACACTTCTACCATAACAGTATTTTTAAGGCTGATGTATCCTACAGAAGAGCTTGTGGTCTAAGGGCACTGGTTCTAATCCACCCTATGTTTTTCAATCTTTGCAACTTCTTGGGGCAGATACCCTCCAATACCTTCTTGTTCACAATGTTAGACACTAAGGATGCTAGATTTCTATCTACTCAGCTTCTCAATTCCTGTTTGTCTCCATCTAGTTTATTCAAAAGCTTTTCTGGACTGTGTTATGCTGGCGTTTTTGTAGCTGCCCCCCAACTCTTGGATAGAACCTACGCAAATACTTTTCTTAGTTAACTTTGTCAACTTGACAGAACCTAGAGTCATCAGAGAGGAAAGCTTGCAGTTAGTAACTACTTAGATCAGATTGTCCTGTGGACATGTCTGTAGGGGGTTATCGTATTAACTGATGCAGGACATCCTAGACTTCTGTGGATGGCACTGTCCCTAAGCAAGTGGACCTGGGCTGTATGAGAAAGCTAGCAGAATGAGACAGCAAGCAGTACTCCATGTTCCTCCATTGTTCTTGCTTCCCGTTTTCAACCTTGAGTTCCTGGCTTGACTTCATGCCCTAGTTTCCCTTGATGATGGGTTGTGACTTAGACATATAAACCAAACAAGCTATTCTCTTCCCAAACTGCTTTTGGTCAGGTTTTATTGCCATAACAAAATGAAACTAAGCTATCTGTTCCTTGATAAATTTCTCTCTGGGAGTAACCTCCCTCAGTACATGGATGGTTTATCTATCTACAGGCTGAGAAAATTTATGTTAGGTCAAAGTACTGTTCCAACTGTTCAAGGGAAATCTGAACCCTTCAAAACTCTCCATACCAATTGGGAAAGCAAGGCCAGATGTTTGGCCACAAAGAGCAGATGGGAGTAACTGGTGCTAATTCAAGTAACAACACAAGTTAAAATAGGTTGTCCTTGGAGTTCCTCATTGGACACTCAAAACAGTTGATGCAAAACACATTTCTTATAGGCTGCATGGAGATAATAGTTAATTTGAGAACTACACTATTCTCTGATATTAGAAATGAAGGGACTAGGGGAGTCCAAAGGGAAAATAATGGATTCAATGAAGACAATGGCTACCTGTCTCTATGAAGACAATGGCTACCTGTCATGCCCTTTCTGTTTTAGTAGGAAATGCTCCCATCTGTAACCACTAGAACTAGCAGATACAGAGTCCCTTGCATATGGACATAGGAACTGATTTGTCAGTTTTCCTCCAGACTAGTGTTCCTATGCTGGACAGAGTGTAAAAAGGTGTGTGTGTGAGGAGGAGGGAAGAGAAGGCCTGAAAATGCATCTGTAGTCTGAAGAACATGACCAATGCATTTTGGAAAGTCAAAAGTTTTACTTCTGCAGAAGGTCATGCTAAGTTGACCAAGCAAGCAACCCTACCCAGTGGTATTTTGACACTCTCTGCAAAGGGATCCTGTGCCACACTCATTCTGAGTAGTCAGAGCTCAGCATCAATGGTATAAGACCAATGCAGTTTCTAGGGAGAAATGGAAGAGGGCTGATCCTGGAAGAATTCAAAATTTTGCAATTTATAATGTTAGTGGTTTTTTCTTAGTCAACACTTTTGACAGAAAAAAACAGTACATTTTGTTTACATTTCCCACACATATTCATAACTTCTAGAACTGATATCATTTTCCCTTTTTCCTTTCCAAACTGCCATTCAATAATATTAGAAAAGGGAACACTTATTCCTAAATAAATTTATTCAGGAATAAATAAAATAAAATGAGATGAGTTATTGGGAAAGTAGTTAGTCCCTGAGAAGACCTTGCAGTGGTGCAATCAGAAACTGTATAAACAGGAATGAAAGTGCAATGCTGGTGAACTTTCATGACATAGAGCCCTCTTTTTGTGAGCATATGTCAAGGGCTAGTCTATTTTCCCATGCCATTCTACTGGTAACATCTAAATGATATACTGTACCCTTGAAAACATAACTGGGCAAATTTACAAATAGTTGATTTTAGCATATATTATTTGTTCAGTCTACACTTTTACTTATGATAGACCACCAAAACAGCACTGACTCAAATTCTGTTGCTATTTGACTCCTCTTCTAAAACTTGTAAGGGATTCCTTTAAGCACTCTGATGGAATTTATGTAAATATGAGGTTCAAATGACCCTCTAGGAATTAGAAACTCCCTTTTTCTATTAGACAAATGAAGGCAACCTTACATAGGTTGGCAATAGACAATAATATTTCAAGCAATAATCCATCACAATACCAGCAGACATCTGCCCTGGCCATGCTCAGTTAGAAAACTATGTTCATCTCCTCAAAGGCATGGAGGCCCTGTCATCCAGACACAGTTCCCAAGAATTCCTAATTCTTCACCCTCCTTTTCAGATAGGAGGTGTAATTGGTTCCCATTAAAGGAAGCCACACAATTGAAAGGAGAGGTCCTTTGCCTCAGTCCCTAGGTGGCTGGGAACAGAAAGTATAAGAACTGACAAGACACACTCCTCCAGACCATATCATCTTGGAAAAGGAGACCACATCCCATCCCTAGGTATCTGAGGTCCATCTGATGGGAATGGACATCTCAACCTTCTGGCTTCCCTACAACTCAAGTGTAACAGTCATCCTTATTTGATATTTTAACAGAATATTTAATCCATCCATACATGAATCCATGCATTCATTTCCCCACACCCAGTTTCAGTTGTCATAGTATGTCTTAAATATTAAGTTTCTATTTGTATCCCCTGGGAATTTCTGGTTTTTCAAGTCTCCACGGGGTAAAAAGACTAGACATGCATCAAACCGAACAGTTCGCAGAGAGTTTGTTGGAGTGGCATTCATAACCAAATTTCCCATTACCTTCCCCCCTAGTAAACAGACTAAATGGATCTTTTAAAATCTTAATTTCAAAGATCTCCTTGTGGTATGATTGCCTACTTCCTCCCAGGCACTGTTGTCAGCAGCCTTCTTTTATTTGAGTGTAATGTGTCTGTTCTAGTTTGCTTTACATTGCTGTGATGTACTTCATGACCAGAAGCAACTTGGGAAGGGAAGGGCTTACTTGGTTTACACTTTCACATTATAGTCCATCATGGAGCATACTCAGAGCAAGGAATTAAGTAGGAGCCTGTAAGTAGGACCCGAAGCAGAGACCACGAAGGAGTGCGGCTTAGAGATGCGATTCCTCTGCCTTGCTCAGGTAATAATTTTCTTTTACAGCCCAGATCCATGTGTGGGGAGAGAAGAAAGCCCTAAGTGTTGTGAAAGAATGTTAGACATGGGTTCTAACATGTAAAGAACCTCGAAAGCCTCATGCTCAGAAGAACGGGAAAGCCTTATTTGATGGGAAAGCCTTCTTTTTTAATTACTTTAATTTTAAATAGCATGCTTCACATGTCCTTCTTTGAGTGTTGACAGTGTGTATAAAAGTGTTCCTCATAGCTTTCCCTCCTCAGATACTTATAACACTGTTCCCTACAGAGACCATTTCTACAGATATTAACTAAACCTGTGTCATTGATCTAGCTACATAACATAAATCCCACCTTCTTGTTTATCTGCTTGTAATAACTCCACCTCCTTGTTCAGTTGTATGCAATAACCCCTCCTCTCTGTTCAACTCCATAAAATGAGTATGCTGAGTTTCAAGACCGCTGTGGTATCTCCATTAGAGATCCCAGTCTACCTGATCTCAGATTTCCTGCGCCCATTTCATGTGTTCATGTACCCATTTTTCTTCATTCCCTCATCACAGCAGTCAGTGTTTTGATGTGGCGTACCTGCCTAGGTATGCTGCTGCCCAATGTGACCCCACTTACATCAATTAGCAATTAAGAAAATACACCACAGACGTTCGCACAGGTCAATGAAAACAATTACTCAGTTGAGGGACCATTTTCCTACATGACTAGTTTGTGTCAAGCTGGTAAAACCAACTAGCACAGTGTCCAAACTCTGTCAGCCATATGAACCATAGTGTCAATTGTTAACAGTACCAGAAAGGATCCCTTCCTAGTTCAGCTTGCTTCACATGTCAGTCCCAGTTACCTCTCCCTCCCCTCCTTCCCCGACCCCACCAACCACCCCAACCACCCACCA